CCTGATTTGGTGCAACCTAGCAGATTTGCCCGTTTAAGGGAAGATGTTGGGAGCATCAGCTCAGGAGTAGCTGTATTAGAGGAAGCTGTTACTTATAACAGCCGAGTTAACAGCCCTCCTAGTACGGGTGGTGATCAAAATGTAAGGAAGGTAAGACAGGTTGTGGTGGTAGGGGACTCTATCATTAGGAGAGCAGATAGGGCAATCTGCCACTCTGATCGGCTCAACCGGACAGGTTGCTGTCTCCCGGGTGCTCGGGTCCGGCATGTTGCTGACATAGTGGATGGATTATTGGGAGGGGCTGGGGATGACCCAGCGGTCATGGTCCATGTTGGTACCAATGACAAAGTAAGAGGAAGATGGAAGGTCCTAAAGAATGATTTCAGGGAATTAGGTAGCAAACTTAAGAAAAGGACCTCCAAGGTGGTATTCTCTGAGATATTACCTGTGCCACGCGCTACAGTGGAAAGGCAGCGGGAGATTAGAGAGGTCAATGCGTGGCTTAAGTCTTGGTGCAGGAAGGAGGGTTTGGGTTTTTAGAGCACTGGGCCGACTTTGCGATTGGGTACAACCTTTATAGTGGTGATGGATTGCACCTAAACGGGAGAGGGTCTGCAGTGCTGGGGGATAGGATGGCTAGAAGGTTGGAGGAGATTTTAAACTAGTAGTAGGGGGGGAGGGTCATAGCAATCTACAAAATGGAGATAGGACAGAAAGGAGATGGGCTTTAGCACAGTATAAGGGGGGTGGAGACGGGGGGAGGGGCAAGCTCAGAACAGAGAAGCTATGTAATGTTGATAATTCACAAAATATACAAGTGACGCATAATATTAAATGTATGCTTACTAATGCAAGGAGCCTAAATAACAAAATGGGGGAACTAGAGGCATTAGCATACACTAAACAATATGATATAAAAGGCATAACTGAAACATGGTGGGATGAAACACATGACTGGGCAGTTAACTTAAATGTGTACATGTTATTTAGGAAGGATAGCAAAAACAAGAAGGGTGGTGGGGTATGTTTGTATGTTAACCATGATTTAAAGCCAAATCTTAAGCAAATGGAATGCGATGAGGAAAATGTGGAAGCTATATGGGTAAATATCTGCTTGGGGGAAAAGAAGGGAAACCAACTCTTGGTTGGCATATGTTATAAACCACCTAATGTTAATATTGACAAGGAACAACAGCTGTTTGAGCAAATTGAAAAAGCTGCAAATCTGGGTAACACTTTAATTATTGGAGATTTTAATTACCCGGACATAAATTGGGACAGAGGGACTAGTAGCTCAGCAAAGGGAATTAGGTTTTTAAACTTGTTAAATGACACCTTCATGTAACAACTTGTACAAGCACCAACTAGAATGGACGCTTGTCTGGACCTGGTTTTAACAAACAACGTTGATCTTTTGACCAACATTCAAGTAGGTGAGCACTTGGGAAATAGTGATCACAATATAGTGTGCTTTGAAATAAACTCAAAAAAACAAAAGCACATGGAGTATACTAAAACATATAATTTTAAAACGGCCAATTTCAATAAGTTAAGGGAAGCTTTACAATATATTGACTGGCATAAACGCTTTAGTGAAAAGAACACTGAGGATAAATGGATCATCTTCCAACAAATATTAGAAAGGTACATTTCTCAGTAAGTACCATTGGGAAATAAATATAAAAGAAACAAATTAAAACCAATGTGACTTAGTAGAGAAGTAAAACAAGAGATTAAAAATAAGAAAAGGGCATTTAAAGCATTTAAATCGGACAAATCAGATGCATCTTATAAAAGATATAAGGAAGCAAATAATGCGTGCAAAAAGGCAATTAGACTTGCTAAACTTCAAAATGAAAAAATGATAGCTAGAGAGAGCAAAACAAACCCCAAAGCATTTTTTAAGTACATAAATTCTAAAAAACCCAAAAATGAAAATGTAGGTACACTAAAAACTGAAACGGGGGTGTTAGTTAATGAAGACCAGGAAAAGGCAGGAATTTTAAATAACTATTTCTCCTCCGTATATATTAAGGAAGAACCCATGGCAATAGATGTGCAAATGATTGCTACTAAAAACTTGCAGAATAATTGTAATTGGTTAACTCAAGACAAGGTGCTGCAGCAACTAAAGAAAGTTAATATAAACAAAGCTCCAGGGCCTGACGGTATCCATCCATGTGCACTTAAGGAACTAAGTGTAGAAATAAGTGAACCTCTGTTTTTAATCTTTCAAGATTCTTTTCTTTCAGGAAGTGTTCCGGAGGATTGGAGAAAGGCAGATGTGGTTCCTATATTCAAAAAGGGTTCAAAATCCTTACCTGGAAATTATAGACCTGTGAGCTTAACTTCTGTGGCTGGGAAAATATTTGAAAGGTTATTAAAGGATAATATTCAAGAATTCCTTGAGAAGAACATGGTTATGAGCAAAAATCAGCATGCTTTTATGAAGCACAGGTCATGTCAAACTAACTTGATTGGTTCTACGAAGAAGTAAGTAGAAGTATAGATCAGGGTGTTGCAGTGGTTGTGATCTATTTGGATTTTGCCAAGGCATTTGATACAGTTCCACACAATAGGTTAGGAAATCGGTCTAGATGAAAATGCTTGTTCTTGGGTAGAACATTGGCTTAAAAATAGAGTACAAAGAGTTGTCATTAATGGTAAATTTTCAAACTGGACAGAGGTGGCAAGTGGTGTCCCTCAGGGGTCTGTTCTGGGACCCCTTCTATTTAACATGTTTATAAATGATCTTGATGACAGCATTGAAAGTCATGTTTCAGTGTTTGCAGATGACACAAAACTCTGTAAAATAATACAATGTGAGTGAGATATTACTTTGCTGCAGAGGGATTTAGATAGACTGGGGGACTGGGCACTCAAATGGCAGATGTAATTTAATGTTGAAAAATGCAAAGTTATGCACTTCGGTGTAAAGAATATACAAGCAACGTATACCCTTAATGGAAGCGAATTAGGGATAACAACACACGAAAAGGACTTGGGAATTGTTATAGACAAACTATGCAACAATGTGCAATGTCAATCAGCAGTGGCCAAGGCCAGTAAGGTATTATCATGCATGAAAAAGGGCATTCATTCTCGGGATGAGAATATCATTTTGCCTCTTTATAAATCACTGGTAAGACCACATATTGAATATGCTGTGCAATTTTGGGCACCTGTTCTAAAGAAGGATACTATGGCACTAGAAAAAGTGCCGAGGCGGGCTACAAAATTAATAAAAGGAATGGAACATATCAGCTATGAAGAAAGGTTAACAAATTTAAACCTATTTAGTTTAGAAAAACGTTGCCTGAGATGGGATATGATAACATTATACAAATATATTCGGGGCCAATACAAACCATTGTGTGGAAATCTATTCACAAGCCGGACTTTACATAGGACACGAGGCCATGCGTTTAGACTGAAAGAAGATTTCGTCTAAGGCAAAGGAAAGGTTTTTTTACTGTAAGAACAATCAGGATGTGGAATTCTCTGCCTGAAGAAGTGGTTTTATCAGAGTCCATACAGATGTTCAAACAGCTACTAGATACATATCCGTGTATGTTTGGGTTGGGGTTCAGTGTTCGGCGATTTAATGGCGCGTTTTGAAAGGCTGCAGGGCAGCCAATCAACAAGAGTTTGACTCGTGTGCCATTAGAAGCCATCACAGCCATGCCTACTAATGGCATGGCTGTGATTGGCCAGTGCAGCATGTGACCCAGGCTCTATATAAGCTGGAGTCGCCTAGTGCCGCGATTATTTTTGTGGGTGCTATAATACTACATTTTTGTACCATGCCTTGAGCCCAGTGCCACAGAGTGCAGTGCGCTTGCAACTGCATGTGTGCCAGGCACATTACTTTAATCCTGTTCTGGTAGCTCAGTGGGCAACATCTAGGCATTTTTTAATACTGCAATTTTTTTGGTGCTAAATAGTACATTTGCATGCTGCATTTCTTGCAAGCCAATAAAACCCTTAAATACTACTGTTACATTGTTGGTTTTAAAAAATCAAACATTTTGGTGCTAAATAGTACATTTGCGGCCTGCGGTGCACTTCATATCTGAGAGTCAAATAGAACCGTCAAATACTGTGCTTACAGCGCAGTTTTAAAAATTCATTTTTTTTTTGCTGCTAATTAGTACATTTGCGGCCTGCGGTGCACTTCATATCTGAGAATCAAATAGAACCGTCAAATACTGCTGTGACATAGCAGTCTTAAACATTCAAATTTTTTAGGTGCTAAAAAGTCAATTTGTTGCCTGCAGTTCATATCTGAGAGTCAAATAGAACCGTCAAATACTGTGCTTACAGCGCAGTTTTAAAAATTAATTTTTTGGGGGCTGCTAAATAGTACATTTGGGTTGTGCACTTCATATCTGATGAATGTGTGCAACACTGGCTAGTTACCGCTTCTCAAGAAAATCTAAAAACGTTTTAAAAAATGGAAAAATAAGTGTTATTGTGATCGCTTCATATACAGAAGTATTAATATACATTTCTATATTATGTAAAGACACAACTACAAAGTTAAAAACCAAACACCAAAACAACGTGGAATGAAGGTCATGTGAGTGACATGTGCAGTTTGGAGGAAGAGGCACTGGTCGCACAGAGGCACCAGCACAGCATAAGTGGGAGCAGGGTGCGGAGCGGCCGTTCCCTAGCGCTCGTCGGCATGTATTATTTTTAGAATTCCCACAGTTATCCAAGTAACAGATGGAGCGATGAAAGGAACCATAACAGATTTAACGAGCCATTCACAGTTTCAAAGTCATGGGGTGCAGTCCGGTAACCAGGAACCAGACACTGTCTGGGCAGCGGTCGGAGGATTGGGACCCAGTATGCATGATGTTGCAGTTAGGAGTCATAGTGTGGAATGGATTAGCAGGGTCTGGTGCAGGGTAACCACACGCCCCTTGGTGTTGAGCACCAGCGTTTGTGCGGCCACATACCAGGACTCTGATGCAGCTTCAGCGAGCAGCAGCACGCGATAGGGGAGTTTCAGCAGCAGCACGCACGGGTCAGTCGCTCTGCACCAGACTTGCCCTCCAATTGATCCAAGTTAAAGAATTTAAAGTGGACTCATTACAATTACAGGGCCTCGAAAGTGTAGGGTATTGTTATTAGTCGTCATTACCTCCCAGAGTCGGGAGTGGGTAATTTGCGCGCCTGCTGCTTTCTTTGCATGTGGTAGCCGTTTCTCAGGCTCCCTCTCTATCGAACCCTGATTCCCCGTTACCTGTGGTCACCATGGTAGGCGCGGAAAATAGCATTGAAAGTTGATAGGGCACACACCCGAATGCGTTGTCGCCGTCACACGGCCAACATGGACAAGCTCACATTTATTAAAATGAACCAGGCATGGATCCCACCAGACTTCTCTGTACCTTGTGCAGAATAGACATTTATACCGGCCTCACCCAGCCATTGTTATACTCAAGTGCACTTATTCTTTTTTTTCTTTTTTTATATGTCCCAATATTTTGGGGGCTACCCAATTCACAAAAAAATAAAAATAAAAAACAGTGTTGGCTATCTCCTCCACCACCGCCGCTTCTACCTATACCGCCAAGGTGTATACCCAGATATATCAGAGCTGCTGCAGAAAGTGCGGGCCGTCTGTGCGCGCTTTTGGCGTTCTCACCCTGCTGCTGCTCGCCTGTCTGCGCTGCAGCGTAACATCGGCCTTCCTGCTCACCGCCTCATATGCGACGTGCCCACAAGGTGGAACTCCACCTTGCACATGCTGGAGAGACTGTGCGAGCAGCAGTAGGCGATAGTGGAGTTTCAGCTGAAGCACGCTGCAGCACGCAGGTCAGTCGCTCTGCGGAACAGCACCATTTCACCACCAATGAGTGGGCCTCCATGCGAGACCTGTGTGCCATGTTGCGCTGTTTCGAGGACTCCACCAACATCGCCAGTGCCGATTACGCCATTCTCAGCCATACCATCCCGTTTCTATGTCTCCTTGAAGAAAATGCTTTGGGCGATGATGGAAGAGGATGTGGCACAGGAAGAAGAGGAGGAGGAAGAGGGGTAATTTCCACAGTTATCAGGCCAGTCATTCACAAGTGGCTCGGAGGGTGGGTTCCTGCACCAGCATAGGCAAGATACACAATTGTCCAGCATCTCCACACTGTCCCATGAAAGCTGTCCATCTCCTAAACACTGGAGAGAAAGAGGGAGTACCCCCCTAGCCACCCGCAATCCCTGGCCCTGAATACCAGCATTTCAAAATTCCTGGTCTTTGAAATGCTGTCATTCCGTCTGGTGGAGACAGACAGTTTTAAAATTCTGATGGAGTTATTGGACTGCAAGAAATGCACCGCAGGCCGCAAATGTTTCTTCTTTTTTTTTTATGTCCCAATATTCTGGGGGCTACCCCATTTAAAAAAAACAAAAAAATAAAAAACAGTGTTGGCTACCTCCTCCTCCTCCACTGCTGCTTCCACCTACACCGCCACGGTCACCGCCTCCTCAACCTATGGGTCACTTAGTATAAACTATGTACACAATAGCAGAGGCTTGTGAAGGCCTTTTCTCCATGCATCAGGAGCTGAGCTCAGTTTGAACAATGAAAGAGAATACCTTGCACTCCAACCCTCTCTCAAATGGATAATTCTGGTGATCCTCCTCACAGCCATGATTTATATTTATATTTATGTTCTTCCAAAGCTAAAATCAAAGATTCCATCTAGTGCTATTTTATGGCTCAGCTGTATTTGTAATTTTTATGTATTTTATGTTATTTTAAGTGATTTCCCTATCCACATTTGTGTGCAGGGCACTTGTCCTACTCTTGTTCTTATTTTACTTCTTTTTGCAGCCTTCTAGCCCTTTCCAAGACTTTTTAAGAGCCATTTTTGTGCCCAAAAGTTCTGGTCCCCATTGACTTCAATGGGGTTCGGGGTCAAGTTTTTAGAAGTTCGGCCGAACCTGCTGGACCCGAACATTCAGGTGTCCACTCAAATATAAACAACATTCCGTAAAATATAGCCTGAAAAACCCCACTAATAGCACTCAGGGCGTGCTCCTTAAGAGGGGGATATTGTCAGGATTTCCCCCATATCTTCCTTTCCGATTGGCATTACCTGTACTACTACTGCATTTCGCCGATCTGACACCGCCCATGCGTCTGACATCACAAGCTTCCCTTTGAAAAGGAAGCTGCAAACTAATCAAGATTGCTCAATCAATGTGTGCCTCTCGCATACTCGCTACTTTGTTGCTGATTGCCGTCTGAGCTTACTACTAGTTTCTCCGTGTACTGAACCTTTTGGCTTACTCCTGACGATGTACTGTTAATCTGGGAGGGAGATGCTGAAGGTCTAAATACTTTTTTGAAAATGTTAATCAAAATGAATAAAATTAGAATTTTACGTCTAAATCAAATGCAACATCTATAGATTTTTTAGATCTTACCATCTATATTGATCAAAATCAATTAAAAACTAAAACTTATTTCAATCCCACCGATTGTAACACCGCTATAGAACACTCCAGCTCTCACCCCCCTTCATGGCTCACTAACATCCCCAAAAGTCAACTGGTCCATCTTGTATCGATGATAAAAAATTTTTTACAGCAAGCTCACATTATAAAAAAACGATATACAAAGAAGGGTTATAATTCATCTAAATTAAAAACTGATGAACAAATTGTTTTAAAAACTGATAGATCTCTCCTTCTACAAATAAACTGTGATCAACAACATAAAAAATCCAATAATAATAATAAATTCCAATTTGCTTTTATAACCCAATTTAATGCTTAGGCAAAAAGAATTGAGAAAGTTCTTATAAAAATATTGTTACATTTTAAAGAAGGATTTCTCTTTATACTGTCTCTCTTGGCAAACTTATTACCTCTTTTGGATTCCACTAACACCTGTACGCTGATGACACCCAGATATATTTCTCCTCCCTGGACCTCTCCCCTCCAGTGCTGCAACGTGTCACTGCTTGCCTTTCTTCCATCTCTGACTGGATGTCCTCCCGCTTTCTGAAAAACTCAATCTCTCTAAAACTGGGCTCCTTGTCTTTCCTCCTCCTAATAATGATCCTCCTTTTTCACTCTCCCTTCGAGTTTGTGGAACCCACATCAGTCCATCCTTGCAAGCGCACTGTCTTGGCGTCATACTTGATTCTGGCCTCACCTTTGAGCCTCACATCCAGTATGTTGCTAAATCCTGTAGATTCCATCTTAAAAACATAGCCCGCATCTTCCCCTTTCTTATGCAAGATGCTACCAGGGAGCTTGTCCATGCTCTAGTAATTTCCCGCATGGATTATTGTAACCCTCTCCTGATTGGTCTTCCCAAAAGGCGCACTGCACCACTACAGTCCGTAATGAACGCTGCTGCCAGACTGATTTTCCTCTCTAGTCGGTTCTCTCACACCTCACCCCTCTATCAAGGTACTAATTCACACCTATAAAGCACTGAACAACTCTAGCACCTTTTATATCTCTTCACAGATCCATAGATGTCCCTTCTCGGTCTCTCCGCTCTGCCTG